AATCTTGGTGGGGATACACCAGGATAAAAGGCTTAACCCAAAGTTCCCTTCAACCTTCAACATAAGAAAATCGGTGCAGCAATGAGCAACTTAACAAAAAATATATTCTCCCCTCCCCATATTGGGAAAGCAGCAAAAAACAAACCCTCTACACAATAATGATGGAATCCGTGGATAGAGGAAATTATACAAAGTTTGCTACTGTATTGTGCAGAAAAGTATTGTGAAAGAATGTAATAGAACTGTGCTCATGTTTGGATCAAGGGGTGGAAGCTTTGCACCAAACCCAGTTAATCAGTCCCCAAGTAAATAGTTCTGTTTGCTCACTCTCTCTCCATCGCTATCTGGCCCCATGGTCTGCAAAGACTCAAGGAAATTGCTCTATACTCATTCAATATATGTGGTTTGCATATTTACCACAGTATTTCTGTGACTAAGACTGTATCGTGATAAGCAGCGTGGCTTAAAAGGGGAACTAAATCTGATTCCTTTATCAATGGAGCTTCTCACCATCCCATTCCTTTGAATGCTTACCTGCCATTTCTTATTCCTCTCATCTTGGAATGCTTGGGAGTTCACAAATTCATCCTTCTCAGGTTGCCAAAGTACCTGGTCAGTTCAGTGACCCTGTGGAACTCAAATCCTTGTGCAAGGCCTACTCCACTGAAGCCAACACCATTATTTAATGAGAAGGATACGATTGAGCCAGCAGTGACTTGAAATATATTTGTGCTAACTTGTCTGCAATTCTTAGCAAGATGCTTTCATGGAAAGCCAGATTGGCTATCGAAAGTGGAATCAAAACAGCACAAAATGAGGATAACATGCAACTGCATTGAAAGAAATGCACCAAGCTAGAACATGATACCCAATTTCTCTTTTTCTTATGAAAATATGTGATAACTTTAAACAATGTCAAGCTCATTTCTCCTGACCATTTGCAAGAATAAAAAATAGCCACCTCACTAAGATCTTCCTCCCCCATTACCAAAGCTGCTTGTAACAATCGTCTACATTTGATTTTTCTTTATTAATAAACAGTCTGCAGACGTTTCTGCTGAATTTCAGCATTTTGGAATACTTTGGAACCTAATTCTAACAAACTGCTGACAATTTATAACTTGCAGTTATAACTAACTTACTTCCTGATCCCTTGACAAATTATTATAGTCATAGGAGCTCAAAGCTCTGTCAAGCCTTGAGTGCTGAGTCTCATGATCTTGTAACCAGCGATTGCCATCAACAAATCAGTAACTGGCATTTGCTCACTGGTCCAGGATCATCCTGGTCTCTCCATCCTGGATAACACTTGCAGACTGAAAAAGAACAGGAATGCACTGCTTTCCTCTCCTCCCAGGAAATGTTACTCCATTCCACTGCAATTGTACTATCACAGGGATTCCCTGCAGAATCTGCACAGTAAGGGACAACTCTAGGGATGGTTTTGTGATCTGCCATTTTCGTTAAAAATAATTGAGCTGTTTAAAGCAGGCGTGTTGACATTTTTGTTGCTTTTAGCTGTCAATCAGGTGACGTAGAGCAATGGTCCCTCACTCTCCCTTCTTCCTCCCCCACCAGAGAGGCTGCCAAGTCTTATTACATTAACACAAGTCCAAAGGAGCCAGACTCAGTTTGTTCACCAACAGTGGATGAGATTCAAGGGGAGGGGAAAAAACACACCTTTTGGTTCACTGCTTATATAATACCAATAATTCTCGGCCAAATCACAAATCATTAATACTATGAATACTGTGCAAATTCTTTAGATTTATTGCCTTTGAATGTCGCCTTTTGTTTTCTTTTAAAAGAAAGGTGCATTGGCTGTGTCTATGTCGGTTCAAGGTATGCGTGCTGCAAACAAGCCTGCAATGCTTGCATGGTATCACTGTGCAACACTTCCAAGAGGAGTGAAACCAGCACAAAGCGTTTTGCCTGGGGAGGGAACATTTTTCCACCGACCCAACCCCCTACCCACCCCCTCAAAAAAAGCACACACTGAAAGTCAAGCCTTAAAAGGGACAAAGAAAGAAATTTTAAAAAATCAAGCCCCAGGTCATGAATTATAGCATGCAGTCTATTCAACACTACAGACACAGATTTCTCAAATAGTCAGGCTCTAGTCGGTATCCATTACACAGCATCCTAGCCACCCTAGAGAGAGGAAATCAAATTTTACAAATAAATGCATAAAACCAATGAGGATATCTACACATTAGTACTGCATAATACATAAATAAATCAGTAAAAAGTCGACCGATATGCAAAGAAAGGTAAGGCGCCCATCTCTCCTTCTGAATGGCTGGCGTTTCATTATTTAGATTACAAGGCCCTCGGGGAGACATTGAAATATTGAATGATTTGATATTCAATATGAAGAAAAGATAATAGGCCATCATCTGTGCACATCAAATTATTTGGGGGTAAAAATGAATTCACATTCTGCAGTGATTACTTTATACTACCGATTCTGGCCTTGACATTTTATAATGCTCCACCCTAGCCTCCAGCCATTGACTTGCACAAATTCAAATGAAGTTTATGAACATTAAAAAGTGCTGTTTGATCACAAAGTCCTCAAAATCCTTATGGTCACAGTCCACATTTCTGAGCCCGGCTCACTGGTTCCCCCTTACACGTTCCATCTGTTCCAACCTATACAGTACTCACCATTGGAGATCCACCAGTGGATGCCAGACAATACCACCAGAAAACCAGCTACCTGGCTGTGGCAGATCCACACCCCCACCATAAACCACAAACTGCGACACTGGCAGCCAACTCTGCCAACGATCACTAGTCCAAGAATCCTCTTACCAACAGTACACTCTATTCTACAGGCTGTTTGGCCACGTGCTTACCAACATACACATCTCATTCCAGTTTACTTCACCAGCGGGTTTTCAGTCTGTTCACAATACCCACTTCAAAAAGGAAATGAAAGAGTGCCTGGGAGTGTGTGTAGATCGGGTGGGCATCTATATGCATTCTGGTTGGTAATTTGAGGAAGACCAACACCACAATCTTTTTATTACAGTGTACAATTTGCCAAGATTGAAAGGGAACATACATGATGAAAAAATCTGCTAAATGCCAGACTCAGTCAAAAAGCTACAGAAAGTTTATCTTAAGGATTTAGTTGTGTTCCAAAGCTCACTCCCAAAACTAAGCCCCTGATCAAGGATCACAGGGTTCAAGTATTTAACAAGAATGTTAAAAAGTTACCATTAGAGTTAATTTTAGAACAATTTATTTTCAGGCAAAGATTTATTAAATGGAATGCTTTGCAGAAACGGCTAATGTGGTTGAAACCATTTGACATTTAAAATGGATAACTATTTGGATAAGTATTTGAAGAGGAACAATATCAAGAGGCACTGGGAAACAGCAAGAAAATGGGATTACAGCAGTCAGCTTCGGAGGAGAATGTTGCAATACATTGGCCATATATTCGCTTTCTGTGCTGTAATTTCTTATAATTCTATGAGAGAAATTAGAAAACAACAACTTGCATTTATATAGTTGCTATATTCACGCTGGGTGGCATCTCAGAGCGCTTAACAACGACAGAGCCCGAGGCCGAGCCAGGGAGAGGGGTAAGTTCCCTTCAACCTGAAGAAAAGTAACTAATCTCATCAAAACATTTTCACCAAGTGTCAGAACACCACCAACTTAGTCTGTCAAGATGCTTGATAATAATAATCCTTGCATTTGATATGGCAACTTATTACGTCTTTGGGACGTCTCAAAGCGCTTCACAAAATATACTGTAAAGTGGAATGACTGTATATTTTGTGGGCAAAACACGGCAACCAATTGTAACAGTCGTGGATTAAAGTGACCAATTTATTATTATCATTTTTTTTTGAAGAAATTATTACTTCTGGAAAAGCAATCCGCCAAATCAACTAACAAACAGGTTCCTACTAACTGCTAGGTAAATAGAGGCGTGTGGAATAAGGAAGCTCGCCCAACATTTCACCTTGCTGGTAATGTAACCCAGGTCTCTCGCTTGCGAGGCGAGTGCTCTAACCACTGAGCTACAGGTTCAAGGTGAGGGGGGGGGGGGGAAGAAGGTAGGACAAGAGGATCCCAATACATGGAGGATTCTAAATCTCATGGATCGAACCTACAGAGATTTGAGACTAAACCAAATCATATAGTGGCTTTCTATTGTGCCTGACCCTTCAACATACATACTTTTAAACTTGGAAACTTGGCATCAAGTCAGCCTTCATCATTCTCTGATCAAGATTGCTGTGGAACTTTGAGTAAACTGCTGGATGTCACAGATGACCTACATAGCGATAGGCATCGATTAGCTTGGGTATACAAATTATGTATTGCTTTTGAAGTCTAGAAACTCCCATGTCCAGGTCTATTAATTCTAATATTTGATACACCTATAATTTTTGATCAGTGACAATGCGCTAGCCCTGACTCTCAGTTTTGCAGAATTCAAGCTACACACATTAACCATTTTACAGGGAGGGGCAAAAATATATATATTTTTTAAACTTCCCGATTCCTCACGTGATGCCTTGAACTCCCGGGCTTGTCCTTTACACACATTTATCTCATGATCCCTAAAATCACTTCACTTTCCAGTCCCCGAAAGTTGTATGAATCCACTCGTCTCCATTAATGCTGAGAGCCATTTGCTTACATTTCCTCATTGTTTTTCATGAACTTTCACTGGGAAGCAGGAAGTTAACAATCTATTTAATCCAGCCTTGAGACAAAATCTCAAGGTCTGTAAATCTGGATCTAGGTAATCCAAATCTCCACCACTACATCAAGTAATATCAACAAGCTCCACTTACAACAACATGAATCAGGCTTGGGTTATCGCTCCATCAATTGAAAGGGGAAAACCTTCTTGACCATCAAACCGTGTGCCAACAAAATCTTCACACACCTCAACAACACTCAACACATTTCTCCGATTAGACAGATTGAAGTTTATCATCCATTTGTTTTGCCTTTATAATGGAGAGGTGTAGTTGCAGGAAAATAGCAGTTTAATTAAAAATACAGAACAATGCTGTCACAGAGGCATTTGAAAGATGTTGGGGCAAGGGGAGATAGAGAGAATGGAGGGGGAGGCAGTTGGAGGGCAAAAGGGAGGGAATAGGGGAGGGGTTCACAGCCTTCAGTCGGAATGGCAACATCGGTCGACCCTTTACATTGGTTACAGTTATGTTCTGCAAATGTGGCTGTGGGTGTGTGTATGGGCTCATTCTACAATGAGTTCAACAGTCATCAGAGCCTACACCGACAGCAGAGAGAGCGGCTTCCTGACAGACAATGCCGCCTCACTCCATCCTGGGTGAAAAAAAAGGGTTTTGTTTTTAAATTATGCATTTTGTTTATTCAAATCCTTCATTTTGACGTGTGGCTTCATCAGCATGTCAGGCTGAGCAAAGCCACAGAGAGCAATGGTACACAAACGGGGACTGTTGCAGAGCCGTCTTTCCAGTGGTCACTCTGCGTAATGCATGATAGATTCAACATAGTTCCCAGGGAACAGACCAGTCACACCATTCATTACTCCTTCGTACCAGCCGTCATCATTCTTCTTGAGGACATAAATGATGGAGCCCTCTTGAAAAGATAACTCGTCTTCTTTGTCCTTTGAATAGTCGTATATAGCAACCACTGTAAACAGAAATGGCAGCCATTAACAGAGCGGCATAGAGCACAATCTCATTGCATATCAAGTAAGGAAAGAGTGCTCGTACTGCCTTCCTCTTTCTTCCCCCAATTTTCTTTGCATTTAACTTTTTGTTGTGGTGAGTTTTGTTCCTTGGGAGAAACTGAAGAATAGAAACTCTTGTTGCTGTTTGGAGCTGCATTTGGTGACAATGTTGACAACATTTCACTGGACTGAGGACCATGGACTGACAATATTGCCCTCTCCAGGTTGCCAATTATTCCTGTTGCAGATATAGTGGAAACTCACTATTAAAGGCAATATCTGTCCTTATTAGTAAGGCATTATCTTTTGCGAGTTTAAGATATTAGTCCCCGTCAATCGCAAGTGTACTGAACAGTGAACTAAACAGTCCATCACTGGTGTCCACAAGGTGCGGGTCCATGATGAGGCTTCAATTGGGAAAATCAGGAACCACCTCATAATCCAACTGCACTGTATGGGGTATTGAGGGAGGGAGAGAGAGAGGGTGGAGGGAGGGTGGGGGGAAAGAGAGAGCGAGGGAGTGGAACAATAAAACTGTGTGGGAAATCAGAAAGAAAGGTACATTTTCTGAATTGCTGCAAGAATTTCACTGAACTCACCTTTTTCTAAATAGCTCCTGGGTGCCCAAGGGGGATCCTCCTCTGCGTACGGGTCACTATATTCCACCACAGCTGTTTCTTCCTCCTCATAGTCCTCTGGTGGTGGGGGTGGAGGGGGCGATTCATCGAATACTGCATCATCGGCAGGTGGTGGTGGAGGAGGGGTCGGACCTTCAGAAACTGCAAAAAACAGAAGCAGAGTTAACAGCAAGAAACATCACACAATTTCTATTTGGGTGACAGAAGCAACGGCTCATTTTTGGACCACCAAACCACATTCCAATCTGCAAGAGGTTCACCTGGGAAGAAATGTGTGACTTTTGCTGCATGAAACTCTCCCAGATTATTCTGGCTTCATTGCGGAAAACAATTCTACTGATGTTGACATTACAATTTACAACAAACCATTGAATTTGATTTGTTTGTGGAATGAGCTCAACTTCCGCCTCACCCCCACACACTGCCCGAAGTTACTGATTCACATCAAGGTTTTTCATTCCAAGGGTGACGGAACACGGAATGATCTATATAAATGACTTGGACTTGGTATAGTGAGTACAATTTCCAAGTTTGCAGATGATACTAAGCGAGGAAAATTCGTAAACGGTGAGGAGGATAGTAGCAGACTGCAAGAGGACATAGACAGACTGGTAACATGGGCAGACACGTGGCAGATGAAGTTTAATGTGGAGAAATTCGAAGCGATGAATTCTGGGAGGAAGAATTAGGAGAGGCAATATAAGCTGATGGCAGAATCTTAAAGAGGGTGAAGGAACAGAGAGACCTGGGGGTTCATACAAGTAAATCTTTGAACATGGCAGGACAGAAAGATAAAGCTGCTAAAAAAATGCATACGGGACACTAGGGTTTATAAATAGCGGCATAGAATACAAAAGTCAGGAAGTTATGATGAACCTTTATAAAACACTGAGTTAGATCTCAGCGAGAGACTGTGTTCAGTTCTGGGCACCACACTTTAGAAAGCATATCAAGGCATTAAAGGAGATTTACCAGGATGGTACCGGGAATGAGGGACTTCAGTTATCAGGAGAGGCGAGAGAAGCTGGGATTATTCTCCTTAGAGCAGAGAAGGTTAAGAGGAGACTTAACAGAAGTTTTCAAAATTATGAGGGGATTCGATAGAGTGAACAAGGAGAAACTATTTCCACTGGCAGGTGGGTCGGTAACCTGAGGACACCCATTTAAAATAGTTGTTAAAAGAAACAGAGGGGAGGTGCGGAGACATTTTTTCATACACCAAGTTGTTAGGATCTGGAATGCATTGCCTGAAAGGGTGGTGGAAGCCGATTCGATAACAACTTTTAAGAGAGTAGATAATTCTTTGGGGAGGAAAAGTTTGCAGGGCTATGGGGAGAGCGCGGGGGAGTGGGATTGATTTTGATAGTTCTTTTCAAAGAGCTGCCACAGACACGATGGGCCGAACGGCCTCCTTCTGTGCTGTATAATTTTATGTTTCTATGAACATGAGGACCTAACCTAAATGGAGTCTGTTTATTCTCTGGAGTAATCAAGGCTACCTCATTTACTCTACTGCAAAAGCAATGAACAGCAGAACTGGCACCATACACTACTACAAGTTGAAGCAGGTATGAGTGGAAGCAACTCTGATCTGAATAACTACTTCAACTCCTCCTCTGTGGAAGGTTGCATGAAATCAAATGGTCATGTTTAAAATAACCCAGTGCAGCTCATAAAGCAAAATGCACCATCAGCAAAAATTGTCACTCTGCTACCGTGTATAACTTGAGGTTGGGTGGATTAATCCCCCTTTGCAACTTCAACCACGTGTCCATTAACAATCATAGTTCTCAATTTTCTTGGGAGCATAATTGCAATAAGGGCTCAGTTCCAAGTGAAGCCGAGTTTCCAGTAACAGGAACGTACGCAGAATGTTCATCGTCAGTGGTTCCAGCAGCTTCTCATGTTTAAATAAAAATTTAAACTTAAATAGCCTGCGTTGTGTATCTGCATGTTTGCGTTTATCTGCGTGTGTGCGGGTGTATCTGTGTGCGTGTATCTGTTTCTTTAAGGGTATGTAGCATGCATATCACACACGACTGTTTGTGGGACACTGCTGTTTACACTTTTCACTTTACAGTATATTGGTGAAAAGCGCTATATCAAATGCAAGGATTATTATTATTATTAAATCACTGTACTAACATGTTAGGTATACAACATTTCAAATGGGTCTAAGATGTAATCCCAGATCAACACCCGAGGCTGGTATCACAACAGAAGAACAAGAGGACATAGGTTTAAAGTTGTAAAGGGCAAGTTCAGGACAGATATCAGGAAGCTTTTCTTTATGCAGAGTAGTCAACGACTGGAACTGGTTGCCAGGAAAGGTAGTAGAGGTCAGGACAAGAGACTGATTTAAAATGCAGCTTGATGCAGTGATAAGGGAATGGTTGAGAGGATGCTTTGGAGGGATGAGACTGGATGGAGTGAAGAGCCTTCTTCATCCAGACCAATTTTGCAATCATGTGAACATACTTGAATGGCTAATTAGGCAGCAGTACTGAATAGTATTACCACCTCAATGAGTGTTTCTTGACTTGCCAAATGAACTGTTAGCACAACTTCTTTATACTGCTAAAATGCATATTCCCCGCCACATTAATTACATCACTTTTATCGTGCATTGCATTGTTGCAACAGAAAACATCTTGCTGGGTTTTCTTATGGCATTTTATAAGGTTTGACAAATTAACACAAAATGGATGACATTTTTAGCGGTGGTGAGCTACAGCCACTTGCTTTGTCAATGTTACAACACCCACAGCTCAATCTTTATGCTGGCATAGATTTGACCTGAACACAAAAGAAAATCAAACAGCCTAGATTAATTTGTTTAGAGGCATGCAGCTCCCAAGCGAGCCTTTTTAGTGAATTCAACAGCCTGACAATCAAGTAGTAAGGTGTTTTTGTTCCCTATATCATGCAAAACCTGTGCAATCCAACTCTGTTGCCTTGTGGTATCTACAGAGGGATAGGCAATGTGGTGCAGCGCAGCAAAAACCTCAGAGGTTGAGTCAGGTGATTATGAATAGTTAGTATTATAATTAAACCGCACAATCTAAAGTGGCTTCTTGAAATTTACCCAAAATGCATGCAAAGCTTTTAAAACCCAGAAGAAGTGGTTTAGACATTGCAAGATAAGATTTCGTACACAATTGCTTTTAAGGTCATTTTTGGAAAGCCTTTTTGCAAATTACCACTGAAGACACAGAAAGCACGGCTGCCGATAGGAAGTGGAAAGCGTGAACTTACTGTTTTCCTGGACTCTGGCCACAAAGCCCATCAGCGGTAACTGTGGTGTAACCTGCAGAATAGAAGGTGGGGGCGGAGCAAGGGACACTGCAGCCGAGGACAGACACGGGGAAAAGAGGAAAAGGAACAAACAGCAGTGAGAAGCAGACAGCAAATGCTCATAAATGAAAACACAGATCACCCGCACACCAGAGATGCACCAACAAATCCATTAGGAGAAGCACAGCTTTCTCGAGCTGAGAGACACAAGGCCCCAGCGACACCTAAACAATGCCACAGGTACTGTTGCAAAATCATTTAATTCCCTATTCCAGGGCAATTATTAAAAGCTTCAAGAGTGAGAAACTTCAAATCAGTTAAATTGTTTATTTCCAAATCACGCTTACATGTCTCTCACAGTCTTGATTTCCTCCCACCCCTTCCCTTTTATCACACACACTCTACTCTACCCATCCGACCCAAAGCATACACAACCATACCCCAGAAACACACACAGACATTTCCCACCCCCCACCTGAAACTACAAGCACAACCTCCACCTAAAGCACACACCACCTCCTCCCCAAAATCTAAGACCACCCCCCCCCACACCTAAACATAAATCACACACACAAACATGCACATCACCCACCCACCTGAACCTAAATCACACTCTTCACCCACCCCCACCCCATGCCTAAACTTAAACCACACATGTCCCATTCACCAACTCTCCAGGAGGAGTAACTGGAAAACAATAGCAGCAGGATAACAGTTCCTGTCACAGGGGCTCAAAGTGCCTCTCTGTGTGAGATCAGCTGCCTTGGTACAAACCAGGAACCTTCTCGTCTTACAACTCAGGCAACATGAGTTGATGCTTCTCGCCAAAAGCCTACCATGGGAGTCCAACACAACACTCAACTCCATTCCATCACTGAAAACAATCCCCCAGCAACATATGAACAATACTGATATAAAGGGTCATACGAAATTCTGCAACTCTCCTACTTCCAACACTGAAAACAGCCAACAAAGGTAACACAATGGATTAAATGTCCTTCTTCTGCGTTGTAAATTTCTATGAAACTGGTTGTTGGAAGGAATTTTGTTAGGACTCAGCTGGATGAAAGGACAAACACACTCTTGGTTCTGTACAATGAGTGAAACTTGCTAAATATTCGTTTTACCTCTTGATTCGATAGATGAGTTCTGATTGTAATAGGGTCCCCCATTCATCTGGTTCTGGACATTGCTCTGTGAGCCAATCGATGGTGGACGCTTGTACCCAGGTAGGGAACCTCCTGGAGTGGTTGGATTTTGCCGAGGCACCGGTCGATTCATGCTGTAGAACTGGGGGCCATGGCCTGAAAACATTTAAGAAGGAACATTTTAAATGCTGAGCAAGTCATCAGTTCTTATAGAAATCCTACGAAAGGTGCTTTCACATAAATAGATAGAATCAGCAACAGTGCCTTGTACTGACCTGAAATTTTATATACAATTTTCAAATGACAGAATGAAGGCTAGAGAACTATAAGTTCTGCAGCCCACACTCCACGACAAATAACCTCATCCTGGCCAGGCTCCACATTCCCCAGCATATCAATTTCAAGATCATCACCCTGGCTATCTTATCCCTTCATTGCCTTGGTCCATACTACTGAATACTTCTCCAACTCCATTTTCTTGCCCATATCCTCTGCTCTTCCAAGTCTGATCTATTGCATATTCCTGACTCCCTCCTTTCCACCGTCGATAATGAAGCTTTACGAGCTTCAGCATCTTGGGATATCCTCCCGATGTGAAAGGTGCTATATAAATATATACTGTACTGCTCCCTTTCAGAAATTCTCTCCCAAAATCCTTTTACCTTTTCCTTTCCCCACCTTCAAAATCCATATAAAAACATATCTGTTTGACCATGCCTTTGTCAACATCCTCAAATTTCCTCTCCTTGCTCAGAAATCCCCATCTTCTTTTCAAAGTTCTTTGAAATGTTCATGCTCTTAGAAAGGGGCTAATGAAAACTAGACTAACTGTGACAGCAACTACCCATTATCCTGCCAGAAACTAACATGTCTGCACTTTGGCCCGTTTCAAGCTAATACCTTAACTCCAAGGCTTATAGATACTGAGATTTAAATATCAAAGGGCAACTAAGTAAATGATCCTACAATTACTTCAGAGTTAGTTTTCAATTCTTAATATTTACGATGAGTGAGTTGGATCAGTCCTTTGGCAGTTTCTCCGATCTGAGCTCTCATCACCTGCTATGTGACTGCTAATCCCAGCATGAGGCAGAGAACACAGCCAAATCAGACACTGGTACACAAGCAAGACATGCAAACCTGCTTCAAAAGAATGCGTCTCAATCTTATTCGTGTTCTGCAGCCAGTTAAAGGCAATGTGCAAGACGTTTCTCAGGCAGCTTTTGGTCAACAAAGTAAATATGGATTAAATGGATTCAGAAAATATTAAAAGATGCGGTTTAAGAGCTGAACAAGTGTTGCATTCTGTCACATACACCCCCTCCTCCCTACCACCCACTTTAGACTTTGGTAAATGGACAGGTTATCAAATATCACGAAAAAATGCTGCCGGGATGCACAGCAAGTGTCTCTTCCACTGGATCACTGGAGAATTCAGCAATGGTTATCCCACTCATCAAAGGGGCAACCTGAGGGATAACACAACTGATGGAAATGTGTCAACCATTCAAGAGTCAGATATTCTATATCACCCTTTATTGGTTGAATGGGTAAATACAAGAGTAGATGAAACCAAGGATTCCCTGGCCTGTGCTGAGGGTCTCAATAGTGCGCCCATAAAATTAATCAGTGTCCCTGACCAAGGGGAGATAATGCAAACAAGAAAGGTTAGAGAAATAGATTAGTTGTTGAAAAAGATTTGAGTTGTAAAACCAGCACTGTGCCCAAAAGCGCTGCTAACTGTTTATTGCAGATTTCTAAACAATAATCCATTTTGTATAGATCCGATTTACTGCCAATGGGCCATCGTCCTTGCAACACAAAACTTAGAATTGACTGCAAGACTGCCTGAGAAACCGCCATAGTGTGCAAGAGGCAGAAAGACTCACCTGCATTAGGAGTGGAAGAAACAGCGGGGAGAGATGGTGAGATGAAGCCATCAGCAAGGGGCTGGGCTCCTGCTACGGAGTCTGGGATTGGTGTTGGAACATGGGTAGGGGTTGGAGAGGGAACAGGAACTGGAGTTGGAGTAGGGTTGGGGGTTGGGACTGGAGTAGGGTGAGGAGTAGGGGGTAGAGGCGGGGTACCAGCAGAGCCTTCAGGAAGGTTGTAAAAGAAGGGTTAATATAAAGAAGATTAGCTGGGATAAGAAAGCCTGTTTAGCAGTTAGTTGCATGTCCCATCACCCAAGTACCATGCTTAGAATATTGCAATACAAAGCTCCAGAAGAGAGAGAAACACCACAAATGAAAGAATCCTGTTGGTCTCAATGTTCAGACATCAGAAGAATTGAGCATCAACTCAGTCACATTCTATGTGTTTAAACACATACAATACACATGTCCATTTACAGTACCCTTTTTTAGTACTGACAAATCGCTAAGACCCCCGTTTCATTATGTATATGGAGCACAAAACAGTCATTCGCTTTTACTCATTTATCTCCTGCTTTCCCAAAGACATTTGGTCAGATATAGATTCATAGGTGTTAGTTACCCTCCAGCCCAGCAGTTTACTCAAGTGGCCATTTATTCATGTGTGAACCTGGACGGTGAGTATTAGCAACTGTGGAGAGCATCACAATCAAGCCTGTTTTCACTTGATGTCCAAATGCTTACTACTCAGCAGGAGATGTTGGAAAGTGATCAATATTGGAATCCTGGGCAATGTTTCTTCTCCCTAGTCCACGTTAATTACAATATTCCAACTGAAATTGGCTAATTCAGCAGAAACTAGGAATCAAATCTGCGACTTTGGCTTAGCGCTACAACAGGCTTATTTTCCTGGACATCAGAAACCATTGTAAATTTTGAATTTGTGGAAGTATACAATGGTACACATCAATTCAAACCGTGAAAATTCTATAATAATGGAACTGATCTGCCGTACTGAAGCACAGTGACATAACCTGTTCTTCCTTTGTCACAATACTGTAGGAGAGGGACAGAGATGTTGTCTATAAGAGAAAGGCAAAGACCTCTTCTTAAACAGTCAAACATGATTAGCACACACTGCAACATTGCACATCTTATAGAATTGCAGCCATTGGAAACCAGCCCAATCACAGGCTTTTGTTACAATCTCTTGCTACCAGAAAATAAGGTTCCTTCAAAGCTGCACTGAAGAAATTTAGCTGTGTTCTTGAACCAATTCAATGCAATATTCAGTATTGGGAGAAGGAAAAGTAAAGTTACTCTGCATGGCTCCATGACTTCTGTGATTTTAACTTGCCATTCACAAAGTTTAGTTTGTCTGGGAGCTGACAGACAAGTCAAATTATGTTTGAAACCCCACAGCAGGATGTCAAACTCACAGTCTAGGCGGCACTTCTGTACAGTACTAGATAAGTGCTCCATTGTCAAAAGTGTCATCTTTTAAATGACACATTAAAACAGGGTCCTATCTACCTGCTTACTTGGATATTAAAGAATCCAATGAAACTATTTGAAATAAAGTAAACTTGCATTTTTATAATGCCTTTTACACATCGAAACGTTTCAAAATGCTTCACAAAGTAATTACTATCAGGTGCTGTCATTGTTTTTGTAGCCCAAGAATGGAGTTTTTCCTGGCATCATCTTGACCAACAATCCTCTAGACTAGTGTTCAGTTCCCTGATTGTTGCTTGCTGTTCCTTGCTACCCAAATGACTGCTGTCTTCAAAAACCTATAAAAGTTACTACACTCAACAGTGGATAGTTGTCAAACACTTTGAGATATCTCAACATGTTACGATCCAATACATTCTTTCCTTAAACGAGGCATTTTACACAATACTCCAGCAATGCATCAACAAGCAACGTGGGACTGCTCTGTTGGAATAAGACCGTTCAGCACTAAATCTTAGCTCACAGTTTTAAAACTGATCAGCTCCTAGTGCTATGCTATGGTCAGTTTCTAGTTTCTAATATCAGACAGTTATTTGGATGAGCCTCTGCTATGACTGTCTGGTAGTTTTGCAGTTGTGGTGATTCCCACTGTATCTAGTAAACACTGGGGGTGTAGGACGAGAGAAAAAAAGAGCAGTGCTGAAGCATTGATACATAAACACCAAATTAACACCTTTGTAAAACTGTGCAGACACTTTGGCCTGAAATCAACATATCACTTGCATGTGAAATTGGGCTTTTTCATTCAATTTGAATTTAAAGGGAAAACTCTCCAGCTCCCGTCCCACCTCTAACCTCCCATTCCTCTCCAAGGTCCTGGAATGAGTCATGGCGCCCCAGCTCTGCTCCTTTTTTTCTCGCCATTCCCTCTTTGAACCCCTCCAATCCGGCTTCCGTGCTGCCCACAGCACGGGAACAGCCCTGGTCAAAGTCACTAATGACATTCTGAACATCTGTGATCAAGGCTCCCTCTGCCTCCTTGTCCTCCTCAACCTCTCTGCCGCCTTCGACACTGTCAACCACTCCATCTTTATACACCGCCTCTCCGCTTTCTCAGACCTGCCCTTGCGTGGTTCGATTCCTATCTCTCTCACCGTCTCCACTTTGTCACCTCTAACAGCTTCTCCACCAGTCCCCGCACTGTCGCGTCTGGCGTCCCCCTGGGCTCTGTCCTTGGCCCTCTCCTCTTTAACATCTATATGCTCCCCCTTGGTGACATCATCAACTTCCCCATGTATGCGGATGACATCCAACTCTATCTTTCTGCCTCCACCCTCAACTCCAGCACCACTGCTGTCCTAACAAACTGCCTGTCAGACATCAAGTCCTGGATGAGGGTAAACTTCCTACAGTTGAATGTGAACAAGACTGAGGCCCTCCTGATTGGCTCGCGCCAGCGCCTCTGCACCTCAGGCTCTGGCAACATCAACCTCCATGGTTGCACACTACAACTCACCAGACAGTCAGGAACCCAGGTGTCTTGTTCAACCCTCAACTGTCTTTTCTCACATTTAAGCCATGACCCGCTCTGCCTTCCCTCACCTCCGTAACATCGCCCGTCTCCGCCACTTTCTCACCCCTCAGGCCACTGAAACTCTTGTTCATGCCTTCATCACCTCCAGGCTCGACTATGCAAACTGCCCTGCTTGTCGGCCTTCCCCAATCCTCCCTCCACAGGCTGCAGATAACCCAGAACTCTGCAGCCCGTGTCTTCTCCCCACCAAACTCCATGACCCACCTCCCCCACTCTCGCCCGACTCCATTGGCTCCCTATCCTTCAGAGGATCCAGTTCAAAATCCTTGTGCTCACATACAAAGCCCTTCATGGCATCGCCCCACCCTACCTCTGCGACCTCCTAACCTCCTACCTACCGGAGCGCTTCCTCCGCTCAGCCGGCTCTGGCCTGCTCCACATCCCCCGACCCACCCGCCACACCATTGGCGGGAGAGCCTTCAGCCACTCTGGCCCCAACCTCTGGAATTCCATCCCCCAGTCACTCCGTCTCGCCCCCTCCTTAGCCTCCTTCAAGTCCCGCCTCAAGATCCTCCTTTTGGCCATGCCATCGGTCACCCCCTTCCCCTCCCTCCCCATATCCCCAGCTCAGGTCTGAACTGCTGTATTCTGGCCAGCGCCTTGGGACGTTCTCCCGATGTGAAAGGCGCTATACAAATATAATCTTGTTGTTGTTGTTGAAAACAAAGCTTGCTCCATGGTCATTTGCCTGGCAAAGGGAGAGCAAGCTGAGCTAAGTCTCTGGTAGACTTGATCAGATAGATACCAGCCAGGTCTGCAGCTAATGATGATGATAAAGACTAGTGTGCTTGCCTCATCAACAGACCTGGAGGGGCAGATATGTGACTTGTGGTGGTGTGGGGGGGGATTCTTTTAAGGTACCGATAACTTCCAAGCCAATGTTCTCATGATCGATTGGTTCCAGCTGAACTATGCACAATCCAGAAATAACAACATTAGTTTCTTCTCTTGAATCTGAATCGAAAACCTTCCACTGAATCGTGAAATGCTGCTAGAACTTTCCTGTGACCACAATAACGATTCAAGACAAGCAGAGGCTCATCTAAAGGCTTCCTAAGGTCATACAACAGAACACCCACCTATAAATTTAGTAGTACATCTCAGTCCTGATATTGTGCAACATTTAAAAATTTAAACTCAATCAGAATCACCAAGTTGAATGTATATTCTGAAAACATTGGCTACTTTGGTTAAGGAAAAGAGGGAAGGAGGAGACGGATTCAACATTTTAATCCATTTTTTAAAAAGCATTGATAAAAATGGAGAGCAAGAGCAATTACCGGGGAAATCATTTCAGAAAAGCGATTCAAATGCCATTGCAAGACTGAGCATACAAGGCTGAATAATCATTTGAACTTCAAGATAAAAGGGTCTGGAAAAGCTTTCCATTCATTGTTTGTATATTATGCTTTGTGGAGACCGTGAGGAAAGTTTAATTTGGAAGCTGTTCTTTTTATTTGCCCACTACTGGTTGTGGCAGACGTGGCGGTTAGGACATGCAGTTGCTGCACAGCGTCCTCGCTGGCACACTGACGTCTATGGCAAGATGACTACAAGCTACTGATCGGATACCAGATCAGCATCCTCTACCCAGAAGTAGCCACAGCACCCCCTCCCCCACAAAATTGTTTTCATATGCTGAGAAATGTGCTGTGCATTTCCAGGAGTTGCTGGTTTTATTTCAATCTATTTAAAATAACACTAACTCAACAAACATCAATAAATGACTTACTCAAGATGAAACCACAGGTTTCATCACTGATCATTTACTCTTCTCTTATAAGATCTCTGTGGCTGTGACTCAATTCACCACATAAGTGATCCAAAACTAAGCAAAGCAGCATAAGAGATCTACATTAACAAAATACTGCATTATCGTCTAAATCCTAAAATATAATTTATTAGCGCCCTGAACAATCAAAACTGAAAGCTGCAGACTCATTGTTGACTTGCTCTCCATCGGCCTTATAATTAGCACTCCCAAGTCGCTAGGCTATGCCTGTATGCGTAGGTAGCTACAGCACTCCTACAACCTATGTTTATACTTGAACTGCGCAGGAAGGTTTCCCAAAAATGGAGTTGCATTCTCACATTCGTTACACAGACTCAAGCAATTAATTTGCAAAGAATTCTTGGTCGGTCCACATTTTCAGTATAAGCTGCCAAAGCTTTATATTGTCCAAGATTTTGAGATCCTGATGTTAGTAAAGTTACTTTGAGGAATCATGAAGTTTGAAGGAGACCCACGAAGTTTGCATGAAGCAGGTGTGTGTTAATGAGATTTGACTGGGGTTTTAGTGCGGCAGGAAAAGCAACGAGCAAAGCCAAGCTTCCTGCGATTGTTCTCTCCTGGGACAGTCTTTACCTGGGTACACGCTGGGAGGAGATGGAGTAGGTACAACGATTGGTATCCCCACACTGCCACTTCCACTGTTCTCTCGGCTGCTGCTCTGGCTGCTGGGGTGACTTCCCCCACTACTTCCACTGCTGCTGAAACATACAAACCGCAAAGGTTGAGTAACAATAGTTCCTTAATTTCTTCCCTGCCTCATCACTCCTAGGGAACTCCATTTCTGACCGACAAAAGAAGGTACGTCGGTCAGTTCAAAGCTGCTGACAAGGCAACAACAACAATAACAATAAATATTAATCCTTGCATTTGGTATTCTTGACCACTCCTTTAACCCCCTTTTGTGGTTCTCTTTCATTTGTTCAATTCATTACTGACTTATAACATTAATAATAATAATCCTTGCATTTGATATAGTGTATTATCATGTTTTCGAGACTTCTCAAAGCGCTTTCCAGAATACACTGTAAAGTGAATTGACTGTATATTTTATGGGCGAAACTTGCTGATGAGAAAAGAATGTCTATTAATAATTATCTGTAAACAAACACTATCTGTAATGTCCAGTTAAATGCAAGGATTATTATTATCCACATCACAGCCTGACAAAGTGCACCCAGGACTGGAGACACTGGTAAAAAAAATTCAGTTGCCTGCAAACAATCTGCTCGAACCCTGAAATGTCCCAGCAAAACAAACAGAATGTATGTAGCTGTGCTGAAAAAGGAACCATCTAAATATAAATGCCAGCATTGAAACATTTTTTTCCATTTTAGTAGAAGTGGGGAATTCAATCTAGTTGAATAAAAGCAATTCCATTTGTGAGTTATCTGTGAGTATTCTTTCACCGATCTGAAGACCTTCAATAAAATATACAATGAAGTATCTATTTGAATGATATTTGTCAAATGGATTCCAGTCCCTGCTGACCCCAATCTGGTTCCTAAAAGACATACAGAGACTTTGTATAAATGCTCCCCAACCCCTCCCCCACCACAGTATTAACCAAATAATCAAAGCATCACTAAACTGAGTATTTTTGCATCTATCTCATCGCATTGAAAATGAGCACAGTTGTCCTCCCTACTGTATATTCAGCTAACAGCCTGCCAATAATAACAAATTACATTTGTATAACACCTTTTATTTCGGGAGGACGTCCCAAAACGTTGAAGAAACAAGTCTCAAAGCCCTGTCACGCCGGCTCTGAGCACACTCGTCATTCTTTCAGCGTACTTTAATGAATCAAATCTTTGCTTCACCTTCTCAAGGCACAATATCCAGTCTTCAATCCTCTCACCTGCCTATTTACATCATGGGAACAATCTTGGGACCAAGATTGTGTTGGGAATTGATCTCGATCTTGTACCTCTTTTTCGCCGTTGAAGGCTAAAAATAAATTCTGAAAATTTCATTGATCGGCCTCCATTCTGGTCACAAAAAAACGATGCAATTGCAGATTGTAAATAAGACATACAAGATAGAACTGGAAGGATGTCTGGACTCAGTGCAAAAACATTACAACTAAATTTAGATGTATACAATATGAAAGGGTTCAGACACAAGGAGGAAAAAGCCTTGTTATTCTCTATACCTGTAAGTCCTTGTCCTCTGGTTTACAGACGCTGTCCGTACTGGACTTTGCTGCTGTGAATTGCTCATGTTGCGAGTGGGACTCGGCACATAGTCATTTGGCACCACTGGGGGGCGCACTGGCTCCAAAGTTCGATAAGGAGAATGCCGCCTGTGCAGGGAACAAACACAGGCAGATTCTAACATGTACAAAATAACTGTTTGGACCACAAGCTGCATCAAATACTCAGCCGGACCATCTGACCAGCCCCAATATTTTTACGCTTCAGCAAATTCATCTACCTAGATCTAAGTCTAACCTTTCTGCTTTGAGTTTCGGTAATGGTACTTTAATATCCTTCATGTAATTCTCAACAGAACCTGTAAACAGAAAATACTCCACCACCTTCAGATACTATTCCGTGCATTGCTTTCACTCACATTCTCCATTTCATACAGGATACAGAAGGACATTACAAGTGGCACTGACATTCATACCCTTCAGGAAGAGGAGGAATGTTTTACAGTTATAGGGATTATCATCAATGATCCCTATAGCATTTGGGTGTGTGTTTTACATGTGTTTACGCACATACTGTCCTCAGCTCTGATGCCAAAGTCTTCATCAAACATACTGCCAAAACACTAGGTCCAAGCTCATTACTTGGTCGAGGTAACAGAGTTGCCAGCATACTCCAAACACCAGTCAGTGAAGTTCTCCCACAAAACATAGTTGATTCATTTACAGTACATTCTGTGGAGCACTTTGAGAGTCTCAGTGAAGTGATCGGGTGCTATATCAAATGCAAGTATTATTATTAATATTGAAGATGAAGAGTATAGGTTTAGAGTTACAATTAAAATCATAGTTTCCTTTTATTTTATACTTTACACAGAAGATTGCTTTAGATTCCGTGATCCGCATTGTGGATTGGATTCTTGTAAATTTACTTAAAGATCTCAAGTATAATCTGAGGCGAGTTTCACCAAGGTTGCTTTGACAGAAGGATGTATACAGACTGAGAACCTTTCCCCTCTCTCTTCAGTGTGCATTGTTTCACTTACCCAAGTGTCCCCTTCCCTGATGTGGGGGGACTAGGGGGCTTCTGTGTAGGTGGGGTGGTACGTGGAAGGCCACCCATTTTCATATTCTGGGTGCTGACCTGCAATTGGACATCAAGTCAGATTATTGAGCGTCCTGTGCACTGGGAATCACCGCAAGATGAAGAGGAGACTGTCGCAAAACAAGAACTTTAGCAAGAGAGGAAGAGAAAGAAAAGGAAAGACAGAATAGGAAGCAAAGCCATGCAAATAGCACTACAGCTTTCTAATGGCTAGACAAGATCTACTTCCTCACAGGACAGCACAGGGTTTGAAAGTTTAAAACAGCAGAAAAGCATTTTATTTTAATTGAGAATGTTTCAGTATGCAAACTGGGATGTCAACATGAATCATTCAAGTACCAAGGAAGCTTAGTTTTTTTTAAAAAAAGAATAAGCATCGGTTTCTGCAAACTTCAGGGAGCAGAAAGCACCTGATGAAATGACCTGAGTGCTGGGGAGTGCACAGAGTCAGAAAAATACCAATGAACAACTTTTTTGTAGAAAAAGAATTGAGTGTCACGAATGGAGCAAGAACAATTTTTTGTTCCCCAGAAGGGCAAACTTCAAATGTGGGATCTCCCTGCAATTGTGTGCCCAGAGAACCAGGCTAGGTAAATGAGGCCCTGATCAGTAATTTTTCAAAGGTGTATTCATGTAAAGCAGAGTGAAGGCTGAACCTGCTCATCCTCTGGGGCTGGATCCGTTTGAAACTCATTTTAATGCTGCATCAAACATTCTGTAGATGGTTTAGGGAAATTATGTGTGGGGGGAGGAACGGACAACATTAGTGCTTCTACGTATTGTACAGCACATGGAATACAGAAAAATCACAATGTTGTGGTGACTAATTTCCTAATGAACTACTTCTATCAAGCTGCAATCAGCCACAGCAGAGTTCCACGACTTTTATGAACCATTAAGTATCTTTTGAATTGCAATACATTCCTTGCAATTTCAATTCAATTTTAAATGTGCCTTTCTATAAATGGCCAGACCATGTTGCTGTTTATTTGTCAGCCCCTTCACACGCAGTCACCACTACAATCACAATGTCACTGCAGTGTCAATATTAAATCTTTGGTGGTGACCCTCAACTGTAGGGAACAGCTCGGTTGTACAGTGTTTGACAAAGGTGATTAGTATCTGTGGGGATTGAAGGGAAAACTTCAATATTAAACAATCCTCTGTTATATAATCTAAAAACAATTTAAGGTGAGGATTTGATGGGAGGTATATTTTCTTTTGAACCCTGCAAATATTTTTTTTATTTCAATGACTCTCCTTGTCCTGAGGAACAAACTCTGCTGATACATCAAAACCAGCAACAATTCTGTGCGTTTCGCAGCTCGAATGTCTAACAATTCAGTTCAGGCAGCTGTGGGTACTGGCATTGCCCATGAAGATGATTCTCTGTCTAGTGTTGGCAAAGCTTTGATGCAAGAGGAGATCCAAGAAAGCGGTTCTCAAACAAGGTTTGAAAATTCTCCAGTTTCTCCTCCTACATTACTATTTCATCTCAAATTATAAATAATATACTGTTGTTTGCAAGCTTTTGTCTTGAATGAATTTCAAATTTACCCAAACACTGCATCTAGTCCTGTGAGATACAGACAACAGTATTTCTACTCAAACAGAATGTCATGAGACTACATTAGCACTAGAGAATAAATAGGAGTGAAATTATTTATTCTACATATGTAACCATTTTCAGAGACAAATAGTCAGGTCACATCATGGGTGAGACTCAATAGATTAGAACCATTAGACAAAACCAACTTTACATTGGTGAAGTTGAAATGTCTGTCGTTTCTTCCATCACAACCCAGCTCAGTCGGTCAGAGAAAAAAATAATCTAGTCAGTGGAGTGCTTCCAATCCTAGTTTTGAAATTATTTCCAGCTGCTCCCAGGCCTGTTTGTAAAAAGGTCCCAAGTGGAGAGACGCCTTGCATGCAGGCTGCCAAGAGCCACAGAATTCATCAACCTTCATCTGGTGTCAAAATGAAACCCTCCAAAAATCGTACAGCTGATGCTTCAGTTAGCAGGGGTTAAGAGGGCTCAAGCGTGACTAACAATTCATGTAGATATTGAGGTTACACTCAGGCCACTCACATTTCTAACTCAGAGTGATAAAGGAAACGAGTCCTGCACTACAATGTGCAGCACCAAGACTACAAACCACAACTTTCTGATACCCCCACCTCTGCTGTGATACTGTGAGGAAGTGCTCAGGATCGCCACAAAGAGAGCAAATAAAACCCGAGGAGCAATGGCACAGAAATCCTGGCTCATTTGCTCTTGTGAACCTCTGGGTGGGCAATTTCAGAGCAGTATTGGTAACCTGGGAGCAGATCATGGTGGTGTGAAATTTGGGGAGACCTGAGGAAAGAGACTGAGGAACTATGACCTGACCGGTGAGTTTAGGAATGATGCAGAAAGAACCAAGCAAGCCTTTAGATTACTTTTTTTTAAAGATTAAAACTTACATATAGAGAACAAACAGGATATCACAGACTGAGGAGGTGCTATTTCAACTACATAAAGAAAAGATTGTAACCATAAACGCTGGAGAACTACTGCAGACTCTATATGTGTGTGTAAGGGAGGGGGAGAGGTGTAAGCAGGTTCTCCTTGGAATTGAACTGGCTCCAAGGTGACATGCTTGGCAATGGAATATCAGAATCTCGTCAATCTTCTGTGGGGGTCTTGGTAGTCCGGTTCCTAAGTCTCGCAGGGCACTGATGATGACAGACTAGCCAACCTGGTTCATCGTAGGACTTAGAGCCAATGGAGGCAACGATTCATCCCACTGAGCTCATGTTAACCCTGCAAACCAAAGCACTAAAGGTAGGGTGGTCCTAGCTGGAGAGCAGGAAGCTTGCTACTCAGTGCTTTAGTTAGCTAGTTAAACTCCAGCAATATGTGCCACTGCACACTCTGGCGACTCCAAGCCTTGGCTCTTGCCAACTTGCCCTGAAATTAATTACGCTGGGTGCATCCTTCCAAGGAGAGTGTGAATATTACACTTCAGACGTAAGAATTTACAATTGTAGGTGGCAGACATGAAATAGAGTCTGGTTTGATATTATTAAGCATGATGGATGGATGATGGTGTGTACCCACTCCATGCCCAGATATAACCGATGCTTCTTGTACGAGACATTTTGGAAAATCACTGGAATCCACGGCTGACTGACAGATTGATTGTCCAGCCTAGTGTTCCATCCTCCACCCACTTGCCTGCATGATTCCAGAAGGAAGCCTAAAAGAGCGCTGAGCCATATCCATGCCCAGCAAATAGGTCAAATTGTGCCAAATTGTCAATCAATGAACTACTTAATTTTTACCAAAGCCCACAGCGAAGTTACGCACTAACCAGTTTCCCCTAAATACATTTATACTGTAAATTCCAGATTATAAATGACTCGCAACCTAAATGAACCTGTTATTTTAGGCAACTAAAATCACACAGAAGTATAAGATGCTGAGCACACTTTGTGAGAATAAACAAGAGATGAGAAAGTGCAATCTATATACTAGATTTTATGGTCAATCTTTTCTTTTAAGGAAATATCTGCAGTACTTGGAACTCCCCAGTGAGTGATACCCTCAGCATAGCAATAGGATGACAGAGAAGCCCTGAAATATCTTACCTTAAATCTAAGCAACCACTTAATGCATAAATGAAGCAAACAAAAGGTAAGAAAAAACAGCATTGACAGGTTAGTTGGAATCATAGGATATGAATACAAAAGAAATCAATGTTAAGTATCTGATATTGACTGATTAATTGTTCCAATAGGTTACAGAGTGAAGCAGAATGTGAGTCATGAACAGAGGTTCTTATCAGATGGCAACATCTGCTGTTCAGAAAGGAGAAATGCCTACTACGCTGGCCACAAACACAGCTGCTTTTCATAGCCCCATCTAAGCCACAATTAAAATATACCCAGCTTCACTGTGAAAATCATACAGCAGTAAGAATAATGAAATTACCATCGATTTTTAAAACAAACTTTATTTCTTTGTTCAGTTTGTCAATATGCTGACTGCTGCACCATCCCACAACATCCCACCCCCATCCACTGTGCAAACTGTTCTATTGATGATGTTGATTGTGAGGGGTGGGGAGGTTCTGAAGGGCTTCATTGCTCCAATTGCTATTCACATCCGATTTGTGACCTTTCTGTCCCCTCTGGTACAGCAACATTACATACACATCGAGTCCAAAGAGTTAAAAACTCATTCCAGCAGCTGGAAACTGAAATATGCTTCCACAAACTGGTCAGTTAAAATTGTTGGAATATATGAAAATATCACTGTCAATTTTAGTTTCAACCTCATTAGAATATCCCTACCTTTCCCAATTTGGTATATATTATAATGCCAGTGAGAGACAGAGCTTAAAAATATTTGGGCATTAATTGGGGAGATCATTTATACCTGTAATTCTCTATGTGATTCATAAATCAAACTACTGTACTGTCAGAGTCAAGGGTAAGCACTAACTGGGGAGGAAAAAGCAAAGGGGAACAGACTCAGAACTTTTTGTCTACCTTCTTGGTTCTGACTAGGCATGAGAGCAGGTACTAAATATTACATAGTGATGGAGTGTGATACAATACTTAGAAGAGCACATACAGGGAAAAAATATTACAAAATAAAACCTCAGGTGACCAAATAATAAAGCAGTTCAGTCTGGGAGACACTACAAATGACTGCTATTATGTTATTATAGGACACACAGGAGGTGAAGTCGTCCAATGGGTACAGGTAGTTTAATATAAGCACTTAACAAAGTGTCTAATATCACACAGTGCCTCCTGGTAGCACTGTGGAGTTTGCAGATGTCACTGGGCTCTGCAGTGTCGCTACAAGGCTCTGTGTGGTACCGCAGCTTCACTTCCCCATTCATGATTATTCAACTGTACACACTATACAGTTGGTGGTGCTCACGACTAATTTATACTGCGATCCATCTCAGCCTTAGAGAACAAGATCAACCTGCAGTGGCATCACAAAGCATAGCTGCATACCAGACTTGAAATCTGCACCCAATCTAAAAACTAGAGCGTTTACATTGCACAGTTATTATTACAGGGATAGCCATCAGTTTTTGGGGCCCAAGGGTGGACTTGGCACAAACGTGGCATAAAACAAACAAGTTATTTATCCCAATTCATTGTCAGCAATCCAGGAACTTTATCCTCTCTGGATTGCTTTCAAACACAGGCAGGACACCATTTAATGCACTAAATCAATTCAAGACTTCTGAAAGTACTGCAAATTTAAAAAAAAGGGTGATTAAAGGCTGCTCAATCTGTTGGTTTACTGCAGGTCACTTTCAGTTTATAAAGGGCAAGACATTCAATTAAGGTTTTTGGATGGATGTAAAATCCAAAAAATTGGATTACCAAACACAGAACCCAATATAGGCCTTGTAAAAAAAACAAAAAAACTTCAATTGCTTTCTACCAAACATTCACCTCAATACATCAGAGTAGGCAATAATAGAACAACCTTGGTCAAGTTCTCACTGCAAACCCCAGCAATGCAGATTAGAGATAAACTCTTAGATTGGTCACACCTCCCATTAATGCAGGTCTCACTCGTACCCTGGTGTAGAGGATGAATACTAAAAGGGTGACAGATGCTTCTGAAGTAAAGGGATGAACACAAAAGGCAGAGAAATATGATTTAAATGATCTTCAATCATGTTATAAACTGGCATTCAGTACGATCAATGGGTTGATTGGCCTCCTCCTCTACCTGTTAATCTGCATAAACTGATGCGGATTTTTCAGGCCTGATCAAGAGGAGCCAATAACTGTGATGAGCAGTCGAGCTGGGCCCTTGAGATGCACTGCTCACTATTTCTGAAATTAACAAATTTGCCCGAGCAAAACATTACCATATGAGGTTGGACTGAACATATTTTTATGCTGATCTATTCTTTGATAGGTTTACCACTGTGGTGTAATATATAATGCACTCAGCCATCTCCATGGGTTCTGGCCGCCCTGCAGTACCTCACCCAAGAGGCTGTTTTTCATGTACGCAAGGACAGCAAGGGCTGGCAGGCTATTCTACCGTGGAAGGCATCATATCTGAGCACAATTCAGTTCTCAACCAAACATCTAGAGAGCTGGATGGCAATTAGGAGCAGAAACGGCCCAGGAATGCTGAGGCCAAATGTAGTATTCTAAATATTGCTCTGATTAAGATCAACTAAACTCAAACCTATGATCCTTTAGTGTGTATGATTAGGTGCTGCATGGTGCCTTCAGAAGCTATTTGGCAAATCATTTAACTGAAGGGTATGAGAGATGGAAAGTGAATTATTTATTATATTTTTTTAAAAAAGATGGACTGCAAAGGTGTTTTCCAGTCCTTGATATTTCTGTTTGCCCAATAGACCATATTAAGTTTTTATACTCCAGAAATACACAAGACTAGTTAGGTTTAGAAAAACGTCAGAACAATCTGTGAAAACCATCTGGAATTTGAATTTGTAATTCTCACTCTTTTCATGAAATGAAAATAACACTTTAAAGAGCCTTGTTGCCCTGCCTGAAGATGTAAGCAGTCGAAGATGTATAGTAGAACATGATGAGCTGTAGTATTTTATATACAGGATACAAGCCCCTTACATTATTTAGACCGGGGTGGTCCAATCTTTTGGCAGCTGAGGACCGGATTCCCTATTTGAAAAAGGTCCATGGGCCGCATAAGCAATATTTGGTGTTTCCCTTCCAGAAACATAACATTTACATAGCACCTTTTCATGTTGGAAGAACATCTCAAAGCACTTGACACTGTCAGCTGGGCACCCGAGCTGGGAGCCCAGAGGGTTGGAATGTGGAGGGGAAAAGATGACCAAAAGCGTGGTCAAGAATCATATCAAGACTTGCCTTGCAAGAGGGGAGGGAGGATGCGAGTTGGATGAACTCCAGGAATGGAACTCCATAGAGCGGTGGCAAAATGGCGATGGTAGGGCAGATCGGGTGGGGGCACATGAAGCAAGCTGGTATTTGCTCTGCAAAGGGAATGGCCGAGTTGGGAGGTTGCAGAGGTATGGTGAAGGACGTAGAGAAGTTTCTCACTGGGGAAAAGGAAGCTTTCTGCATGGCACATCACTCGGTGTCCATCATCTTTCCCCCTGCGGGGCCAAGGATTCTCTGATCATCTGTCCTGACAGTGAACTACAAGACACTGCTCTCAATTCTCCTCTCTGCTCTCTCTTTTTGTTTCTCTCTCATTCTCTTTCTATCGCTATCCCCTCTCTCTACTCCCCCTCTCTTTCGACACACTCTCACTTCCCCTCTCTCCTCTCACACTCACTCTTCTCTCTCACACACTCTCTTCCTCTTCCTGCACCCAATCACTCCCAACCTCTCCTCTCCCTCTCACACACTCTCTCCCTCTCTCAATTATTCTCTCTCACACACAAACTCTCCATTCCCTCTCACACTATCTCTCAATCACTCTTTCTCTCCCTCCCTGTTTTTTTCAATCTCTCTCTCTCTGCCCCTCTTACCTCTCACTCTCCCCTTCTCCGCCCCCTCTCACACTCTCTCTCCCACTCTTATACACCCTCTCCCAATCTCTCTCTGCTCTCACAATCATTCCCTCTCTCTCCCTCTCTTAATCATTCTCTCTCCCCCCCTCTCTGTCAATCACTCTCTCCCGTCTCTCTCACACCCTCTCCCCTCTCATTCAATCTCTCCCTCCCAATCAGCCTCTCACTATAGGTCACTATCTGCAGCGGCAGGAGCCGGCGGTTACAAAAGACATGGTGGAGAAGGAGACACACTTCCCGTCCTGACAGACTGCAGCAAAGGCTGGTATTATTTTCACTCTCTGTGCTGCATCCTCACAACCGCCTGCTCCTTGCACTGCCATGGGAGAACGTTCACCAGGGAGGGAGGGAGCAGAAGTTGGAATGGTGGAAATGACCTTTGGCCGGATAAAATCACCCCCAGGCTGTCAGTTGGACCGAGCTAATTTAAACCTTTCTTTTGGATGATGTGTCAATGATAAAATTAAAAGCGTAATTTACTGTAAAACGATTTAAGTAAAAACTGCAGAAAGGTAATGCTGCAGTAAATGGCCATTGGTACATCACTGCCAAATTGTGAATAATTATCTTTAGTAAATGACGAAATACCTACCTTAGAGGCTTAATTTTAAGCTATTTATAAATTGGCATATTTAGCATCTACCTCTACAGTGTTCATCAGCACTGTCCCAATCCACTGGCAAAGTCACATCACAACATAATACATTTAACCTCCAATCCCCTCCTTGCCCCCAAATAGTACCTCCAACAGAACAGCTCCAAGCCCAAATGAAAATGTGACTGTTCAGCCTCTAGGAGTGACCTGTTTTCAGTGCGATTCCCAGCCCTACAAAGCATACCTTTACTCCATGACCAATGTCATCCAGGATGGCGTAGTCAATGGGCTTCCTGATGTATCGGACAGGCCTCTCAGGGTTGGACGGGGCTATGATTTTATGAGTCCTCGAGGTGTTTTTGTTGGTTGTCAAGATGCCAATCTCTCTCCTGGCAACTTTCTCCTTGTGAATGTCCACAGTCTGTGAAGAGAGGCGAGATCGATTTAAAGATTTAAACAACAACAACAAAATTACATTTATATAGCGCCTTTCATGTCGGGAGGACGTCCCAAGGCGCTGGACAGACAGAGTTACGGACACGAGCTGAGGGTCGGGATGGGGGAGGGCGGGGGGGGGGCGAAGCAGGGAGATTGAAAGCACGGTCGAAGAGGAGGGTCTTGAGGTGGGTCTTGAAGGTAGCGAGGGAGGGGGCAAGATGGAGGGACTGCAGGATGGAGTTCCAGAGGGTGAGGCAGAGTGGCGGAAGGCCTGCCCGCTGATAGTGGGGCGAGCAAGGCGGGGGAACGTGAAGCAGGCCGGAGTCCGCTGAGCAGAGGAGTGAGCAGGATGGTCGGGGGTTAGGAGGTCGGAGAGGTAGGGTGGAGCAAGACCGTGAAGGGCTTTGAAGGTGAGGACCAGCATCTTGAACTGTATCCTCTGTGTGATAGGAAGCCAGTGGAGTTGGGCAAGGGGTGATATGGTCGCGGAGCCTAGTGCAGGAGAGGACAAGAGCTGAAGAATTCTGGATGATCTACAACCTGTGAAAGGAGGAGTTGGAGGCCAACAAGCAGTGAGTTTGCATAATCAAGCCTCGATGTAATGAAGGGTTTCGGCGGCCTGTGGGGTGAAACAGTGTTGGAGCCGGGCGACGTTGCGGAGGTGGGGGAAGGCAGAGAGGGTCATGCCGCAGATGTGGGGTAGAAAGGATATTGAGGGTCAAACAAGACCCCAAGGTTCCAGACTGGCTTAGCAAGGTTGAGTGTGCAACCATGGATGGTGATGCTGTCAGCGGCGCCTGAGGTGAGGAGGCACTGAACCAATCAGGAAAGCCTCAGTCTTGTTGACGTTCAACTGAAGAAAGTTAGCTCTCATCCAGGACTTGATGTCTGACAGACATTCTGTCAGGACAGCAGTGGTCCTGGTGTCAAGGGTGGAAGCAGAGAGGTAGAGTTGGGTGTCATCCGCATACATGTGGAAGTTGACCCCATGTCTGTGGATGATGTCACCAAGAGGGAGCATATAGATGTTGAAGAGGAGGGGACCAAGGACAGAGCCCTGAGGAACGCCGCACAAGACGGTCCGGGGGCTAGAGAAGAAGCCGTTTGTGGAGATGAAGTACAGGCGATGTGAGAGATATGATCTGAACCAATCAAGGACAACGCCGTGAAGATTGAGGTGAGAGGAGAGGCGGTGGATTAGGATAGAGTGGTCGACGGAAGAGAAGGGTACAGGGAGGGTTTTTTTTAAGGATAGGAATGATGACAGCAGTTTTTAAAGTGGTGGGAACAATACCAGAGGACAGGAAGAGGTTACCAATGTCAGTGAGTAGAGGGGCAAAGGAGGTGGACTGGGAGGTAAGGAGGGCCTCAGTCTTGTTGTTGTTATTGGTGGTGTTGTTGGGGGGTAGGGATAGGGTCGATGGAGCAGGTGGTGGGTTTCATACGGGTTATGGTGGTGATGAGAGAGGAAGGGGAGATGGGTTCAACGGTGTGGAGGGAGGGGTGGGTAGGGCCTGGGGTGGGAGGAGGAGATGGGGAGGGGGTAGCAGTTGCAGTGGCAGAGGCAGCTGAGCGGATTCCCTCGACTTTGGATTCGAGGATGTCCAGCATCGCCTCGCAGTTCGCATTTGAGGTGAGGATGTGTGAAGCGTGAGAAGGTGGACCGAGGAGTAGGTTCATGATGGAGAAGAGGAGCCTGGGGTTGTCCTTAGCCTCCAAGATTGTCTTGGAGTAAAACAACGATTTAGCAGAGGCGAAGGCAGAGAGGTAGGATTTGACATGGTCCAGCCAAATCTGCCGGTGGACAGTTAGGTTTGATTTAAGCCATGTGCGCTCAGCGGAATGCGTCTGGGCTTTAAGGGAGCGGAGGTGGCTGGTGTACCAAGGTGATTTGCATGAGTAGGAGATGGACGGTTAAAGTTGTGAAGTTTAGCAAATACAAAAAGTGAAGGGCAGCTTGCAGATATCCAACACAGAGGGCAACCAGGAGCAAGTTAAAACACCAGGTAAGTACCTAGGAGGAATCTGATTAAATGGTTTAGATCAGGTTAACTGATTGACAAAGGATTCAATTTGAAACAAAGATACCTTAAATTTTCTATCCACTTACACATGCAATCTTTCACCTCTGTGACCCGCTCTGCATATATTGATGGAAACAATGCTGCAAGATTGTTTATAGTCTGATCGCAATATCAAGAACACAGAGACTGGAAGAACACAGGCAAAGCCTCAAACCTCACCAGCTCACCTCAGGAATCGTTCAACTCGACATAGTGCATCAAGCAGCATCAAGGTAACAGGGGCCTTGCTAGCCTTTGTAAATATGATTTTAATCCGCGATACTTACACGATCACAAATATACTGATATTAATTAACTGATCTGCACAATACTATACAGATAATAAATCACATCAATAGAGATGGAATGTTAGTACACACCCAGCGAGGCTGGGTGGGATAACTGGTTAAAATGCTGTCCTTTCACAACTGACTAAAGGCACTGAAGCCTTATGGTGGAACAGGTTCAATCCGGTTGCAAATGGGCACCAGTTGATAGCATAGAATAATCTATACTTTGACACAAATGGCATTAAGGTGACAAGATGTGTAGAAATAGAAATAGAGAATGGAAATGGAGTGCAGTCCCATTATAACACGTCTCTTTACAGCACAAATTCAGTGGACCCCATTCACTGTGGATGCTCGTAACCAATCTGCTCGTTTCCCACATACCTGCCAACTCTCGTACTAAAATGGCGGATCTTCGGGTAATGCGATCTCCACAGACTTCACTGTCTGAATGCTGCACACATTCAATGGAGAAAGTGCCGAAAGATAGAACTGATCTCCCCGAAGTCTGCCATTTTAGCTTCCCATGCTAAAAGATAGCCAGCTTCCAGGATAACAGATCACCACTGATGTCACTTCCTGTTTTTAAGCGCTCTGAGATGCCGTCTGGCGTGGAGGGCGCTATATAAATCCAAGTTGCTGTTTTTTTTTGTACATTTACAGCACAAAGGAAATGTCGACTGCAACTAGATGACCTTGAGTTGGCTTTTCTTTTAGCACAGGAACTCGTCAGAATAAAGGGAAGGGAGCAAGCTGTCCGGCTATGCGCATGTACAATGAAACCAGCTGAATTATAACACAATTTGGGATTTTATGGATCTCAACCATTATGTTAGAATTGGGCTTCACTTTATCATGCTTGTGCAGAGGGCAAAAGCACATTGATGAGGCAGAGAGATTTTGACGTCACATCTAACTTGAAATACGCCAGACCAATCAGTAAATGCTTGTTGGTAGCCTGGGCATCAGAACTGAAAAATTAGCATTCCACAACATCCTGACCTGGATGAAGTTTGATATGAAATGCAATGTCAGAGAGGGCTGCCTCCTGCCAGAAGATTACAATGAAATAAATCTGCAATGTTCCCCAGCCTAACTTCCAGGCCTGAGTGTGCTGAGTAAACTGATGTCAGCCAAGACACAATCTGGATTGCAAGGGGATAAGAGTGGGAAAAGAAACTTTTGACGAGCCAGATTTCAGAATTGTTATGAGTTTATCACTATTTATCACTTGGAAAGTTGTGTGCACAGATAGGACAGGACCCAGTATGGCTGCAACCCACCACCACCATCATTGCAAACAATCTTGCCTGAGTTCACACATTTTACGCCTGATAATAATCCCTCAAAAAAAACAATAATAAATTGGTCACTTCAATCCACGACTGTTTGTGGTACCCTGATGTGCGCAATTGGCTTCCGCATTTCGCCCACAAATATACAGTCAATTCACTTTACAGTCTATTCTGTGAAGCGCTTTGAGACGTCTAAAAGATGTGAAAAGTGCTATATCAAATGCAAGGATTATTATTATTGTTTAAGTACCAAAAGGTAACTTGTACCACTGGAGCCATACCCTTGCCATACCCTACCCTAGCATGTCAGTTGACTACAGGAATAGGGAGAATAATGGATGGAATCCCACCAATAAGTATTTCAATGTACAGGCTCAATTTATAAAACCCTTTACCATTATTTTGTACAAATCCTTTCAACTGTGAACACATTGAAATTGTAAAATGCAAATAGCTGCATCTTGCTTCACTGCCAGTTACTAGCTCATACAGTTATTGATGAAGACAATCAGGAATATCAAAAGCCCATATAAATCAATGAAAACAGGAGGCAATTGTAGGAGAAGGCTGCCCTTTGTGGCATTTTAGCCAACAAGATAGGTTTTAAACCCAAGGATTTTAATCATCAACCTCCTTCTGTGACTGCTCATTACCTATTACTGGGTTATCATCGATTGTTCAAATTTCAGAGAGAATAACCTCAGCTTCCCACACAAGTGAAATCCATGAGAGGGGACATCATGGCTAGCACTAGCTTGTGCAAGGATTTGTGCAAGAATGCAGTTTACGTGGATTTGCACTGAGGACACTGAGAGAACTATGGTACAGCCCACAAAGTGTAAGCTGCAACTGAACCCATAGGGTCGAGGGAAGACATGGCACAAGTAAATGATCCCAATTGCCTGGTTCTTTTTACGTATAGACTGGCACAGTACACATCAATTTGTTTCAGGGAATTACAGTGTGGAAAACACGCACCAACAAATCCCCATTCAGAGAGCACAAAAGGGGAAAAGATAAAATCAAGGCCAATACACCGTGGGTTGCTCGAGGCTGATTACTACTGCTAACCCTCTAAGTTGAGGAGAATGTAACAGAAGGCAAAGTTGAAGGAGGTGGAGGGAACAATAAAACAGAGGAGGGGAATAAATAATTTTGTCATGCCCCTTCCAGTCTCATTCTTTCCTATTTGATCCCTCTCATTTTCCTTCAGATTATTAATCCTTCCTGCAAAGCTAAAAGCGTTCTTATGATGGGGCGAGTGGTTTGCTTGGGGTTAAATGTTTTGCTCGCTTGCCTGCTGATGACTTTTGACCACTCTGGTGAAAGCTTAAA